CTTGGGGCTGCCCCGCGGAGGGCTCGCGATCGTCGCCGAGGCCGCCATCCCGCTCACGTTCGCGTCCCCGGGACTCCCACTGAAGCGGAATTTAAGGCAAACAGGCTGTGGTCACTCGAGTAACCGTAACTTCTTTCGGCTAGAAATAACAAAGAGTGGTTAACTTCTTGCATTTAAAGTTTTGATTCGGCTTCAGCTCCATCTTTTTGTAAAGCAAAACATAGGGCAGAGAAAAGTGATTCCGTGGGATTTCTATTCCCCTTTTAGGACTAGTCACCGTGACAATGTTTTCTTCTTGACTCACTTGAAAAAAAATCTCATTTTTGGCTGGTACCATTTTGTTAGGTGTCATTTTTCTTTGTTGAAAGTGCTCACAGTTAGCAGCCAAGCATTTTTTGAGAACCTTCAGTTTAAATCGACACCCTTAGCTTCTTGGTTTAAGAGTGTGATCGTGTTCCTTTGTTTAACTCCTGTTTTGGTGCTAGTACAGTAATGGCCGGATAATAGAAAATGAAGTCGTTGTTTATTGGGGAGCGGCGAACAAAGCAAATGTAGAATCTTTTATCAGTGATAAGTAAAGAGGAGTAAGTTAGCTACGTGAACAGTGAACAGTAATTTCAGGTGTAGAGAGAGGAAAGGGTTTAATAGATGGGAGGTAAAAAATAAGACTAGAATCGGTGGAGCATTAGTGATTAAAGGGAGCAGTGTCAGGCGTGAAATTTGCAGGAAACCTTACGAGAGTTTGCTTTAAGCCTGTTGGATACCATTGAAGGTTTTAAAACGTCGTAAGATTTTTATTTTTAATAGATCAGTCTGGCTTCTGGCTGTGTGGAGTATATGAGAGGGCAAGAGTGGAAGTTAAGGGTGATATTGTAGGAATCCAAGAAAGGAATGTTGCTCCCACTGAAGTGATGGTAGTGATTATGGAAAGAAAGAAAATTTCATGAGAGGTGAAAGAGATGTTTCCGGTTTGGTCCGCTGGATACGGGAAAGTGTTGTGCACCAAGATAACAGTGTCTGGAGGAGTCCTAGCAATTGTGTGAGAAAGAATAGTGCCGTGGTCTGTTAATTCACATAAAGAATGTCTGATTTTCTCCATCAGCTGCACGGAGAGTGAGTCAGTGTTATGTGATGCTATAGGTAAAGATGGTGAAGTGAGTTTGTGTACTGTTGGCAGTCTTACCTGGGCTTTACCCAAATATATATATTTTAGAATAAATTTTATCCTTTTTCTCCTCCATACTAACATAGGTGTGCATAATTTTAAACAGCTTATCCAATAGCCTCCTTTGTTCATGTAATGACATATAATGGGATATGAAGAAGGCCTCTGTGTGATGAGAAGTCTTTTAACTCTTTTTAACTCGAATCCCCCACACACACACCGGGCGTCAAACGCAGGACCTTGCACTTATGAGGCTGACACGCAGGCACTGAGCTAAATCCCCAGCCCATCTGTGGAATTTTTAATTGCATTCCCTGGGTTAAAATTCTTGGTCCCATATACTAGCTGTGTGATCCTGGATATGCCTCTAAATATACCTGAATTCTTGCTGTCTTCCTCTGTTAAATGGGAAATACCTTAGTCTGCCTCAGTAACAGGGTACCTCAGCCTAGGTTATTTATGTAATGCACCGAAATTTATTGCTTCACCATTCTGGAAGTTGAGAACTCTTTTATCAGGGTGCCAGCTTTTGACAACGTGGTAGAAGAGTTTAAAAGTAAGAAGGGAGCACTGTAGTGATTCTTAAAGGCCCATCTCCTGATAGAGGGGACAAATATGCAAATATTAGTGAGAGTATAGTAGTGACTAATTTTTTTAGTTATGAGGATTAAATGAGAAAACATTACAAGACACAGTTTTTAGTAAGAACCCATTTAATTTATTCAGTTACTCATAGTTGTGTAGCATTCAAATATTGCTTATTAAATATTGCACTGTTTTGCTGGGAGACAATATTGGATAAAATTGAGAAAATAATGTAGAAAAATCCTTTTGCTGCATGGAATTTACTTTCTAGTTGAAGACTGTGGTAAAATAAAACATTTATGTAGTCTTTGTGTTCTTCCTGGCTCAGAGCTTCTAAAATTGTAATTCCTTGAGTTATTGGAAATTCACAATCCTTGTTGATCACATCTACCTTTAGGCTAATGAGACCATTTAAATCTTTAAATAGCCTCAGGGTGGGACTAAGGACCAAAAAGACCAAGTGCTTAGAGAGTGTACTTCTGTTCTCATACCTCTAGAAAGAGAAGGCAAGGCTGGAGTTTCAGCTGTATTAGAAACTCTTTGTGTGTGTGTGTGTGTGTGTGTGTGTGTGTGTGTGTGTTTGGTATTTTGAGACAGGGTCTCACTATGTAGTTCAGACTGACCTGGAACTCATTATGTAGCCCAGGCTGGTCTCGAACTTACAGTGATCCTCCTGCCTCAGCCTCCTGAGTGCTGGGATTACAGGTGTGCACCACCTCGCCGGGCCTGTTAGTGTGTGTTTTGAGAGTCTCCATATGTAGTTCAGGCTGGTCTTGAACTCACTATGTACTCCAGGCTGGCCTTGAACTTGCTGTGATTCTCGTGCCTCTGCCTCCTAGTGCTAGGATTACAGATGTGCACCGCCATGCCCAGCTAGCTTCTTCAGAAACTACGCAGGGAGATTGAGTGAGCCTCTAGGAACCAGATTAATAAAAACTGCACTCCTCTAATCCCAGCACCTGGGAGGCAGAGGCAGAAGGATCTTAAGTTTGAGCCTGCTTGGGCTACATGATGAGTTCAAGGACTACATGTGCATGATGATACTTTGAATTCATAGATCCAAAATAAATCTGAAAGCAGTAAATGAGCACTTGTGGTTTTTAACATTGTGCGTGCGTGCGTGTGTGTGTGTGTGTGTGTGTGTGTGTGAGACTGGGGATCAAACACAGGGCCTGGAGCATGCAAGGCAAGTGTTCTACCACTATGGTATGCTCCTGGCTCAGAATACAGTTCCACTATTCAGTATATTTTAAACTTTTATCATATCCTAAATTGTAAAAAGAAAAAGATTAAAAAATACACTTAATTTGAACTTTTCTCTTTTTCTAGGTTACAGTTCCTCTCAGTCATCTTATCAGTGCCTTCCATTCACCGAAATCTGTATTTG